AAAACATTGAGTCAGAGAAATCATACCAGGAAGAGCACTAATACTAAAAACTTGACGGCACAACAACAAAGAACTCAACATCCTCAACATATACACCCCGAACAACCCAACAGAACACCATAACTTCTGGACAACCATAAAAGAATCTGAAAACAAGAAGAAACACTCAACATATTGACCTAATGCTAGGAGACTTCAACCTAACAGAGGACCCACTAGATAGAGCCCCTGCACGGACAGACAACGAAGCAGTGATTGATGCACTCAGAGAGCTAAGAGAAACATTAAACATACACAACTCCTGGAGGAAAACACACCCTACATCCCACCTATTCACCTTCTACAGCAACACAAACTCCTACTCAAGACTAGACAGAATATACTCCTCCCCCACACATGATAATAGCCTATACGACTGGTCAGCATGCACATCAGCCATCCCGACAGACCACCACATGATCCTAGTAAGATACGCACCCCCAAATATGCCACACATAGGCAGTGGTCGATGGTTGTGGTCACTCGGCCTTGTAAATGATGAAAACTGCTAAATAAAATAAGTAAAATAGGACAGATAACACAATGGAAAATTGAAACAAACCCACAACCAAATGAAACAAACCCACAATCAGACTGGGAAGACTTCAAAACCAAAATTTGCCAAGAGGCGAAGGAAAACAACAAAAGAACACCTATTTAAAATCAATACCAGAATAAAACAACTAGAAAATGACATAAAACTCACCCTAAGAGACAATGACATAGACACCAACAGCAACACAAGAAGCCACAAGGCATGGCTAGAAAGTGAAATAAACCACCTAGAGAAAAAAAAGATTAAAAAACCTTCAACTTCGCTCGAAAGCAAAATGGAATACCACCGGAAGAAACAATTGGAAAATACTGATGTAAAATAAACACCCCCAAGAAACCATGAGATATTATATATCAACTTAAAATCCCAAACATGAACCAACTCACCTCCCACTCTGGCAAAATGGCAAAGATCGCAAAACAATACCATGAAACCCTTCAACAAGAAAACACACACCCTGCAATACAATTGAGAAAAAACATAGTGAAACAAAAATAATGAACAAAATACCAGATGAACAAAAATTCAACGACAACAACTCCCCCTGAACCGACTCCTAGAAGAACACCACATATATGAAGCACTGTACTCCTCAAAGTCCAGTAGCGCTGCAGGAATCGATGGGATACCATACAAAGTATGGAAACGCCTACACAAAAAACACCTAGCTGATTCAGATGAAAATGAACCAAGCTTTAATATGATTAAAACACTCACCCTAGTCATAAATGACATACAAAAAAATGGAGTCAAAGAGGAAACCGAATTCACATTAGGCTGGATGTGTCCAATATACAAGAAAAAAGAACACACCAAAATCACCAACTACAGACCAAAAACACTACTAAACACGGATTACAAACTGCTAAGAGCCTGGACAGCTGCGTTTATTTCTCAGCTTATTTCTCAGTTTATTTCTATTGTGGCGTGGCAACGAGTGACAAGCTGTGACTCGCGTGTGACTCTATCAGCGTCCAGACTCCATACTGCCAAGTCATGGCGAAACGGAAGAGTACATCTGCGAACACTGGTACTACTAGTGCAGGCCCAGCTACCACTCACTGGACTGATGAAGAGACCTCCCGCCTCATTCAGTATCTCACACTTCATTGCGCTGAAGGTGGAGATGGTACTAACTTCAAACAGTCAACCTTTACCACTGCAGCGGCTTATTTATTGAAGCCCCTGGACGGCATTCCAAAGGAGGACCATGTAGCTGGAATCAAAAGGGATGGGCTGTCATGCAAGAACAAATGGATCATGGTATGTTTATTATTATTTTTCAAATCGATTCAATTCTGACTACCGCAGTGCAAGAAAAAGCATACCGCTATCGTCGATATCAAATCACAATCAGGCTTTTCATGGGACGATGAACTCAGCGCAAATATCGGCCCAGCCGACGCTGCGCATTGGACTGCATTTGCAAATGCGCGTCCCAATACAAGGCCATTCCGCAACAAAGGTTGGAAACACTTCGACGAGATGGACGACGTTTTGCACACGCAGATCCCACACGGCACCAATGCTTTTCACGCAGGCCAGGAAACGTTCCAATCACAATACAACGTCAGCAACGAAGGCCCAGGTGTTGATGCTGTGGAGAATGAGCCTGTAGCGCCTGACTTGGGAGACTTGGGAGACTTTGGAGACTTGGGAGACTTGGGAGACTTGGGAGGCTTGGGAGGCTTGGGAGGCTTGGGAGGCTTAGCGGTTGAGGGAGACATTGAGAGGATTGTGGAGAGAGACTCAACTGGGCTGGATGACGATGAAGACGATATCATTCCTTGGGAAGCGACTCCTCCTCCTCCTCCTCCTCTCTCAAAACGAAAATTCGCTGCCATGTCTTCAACTCCATTGCTTACCCCTTCAACTAGATCTTGTTCTTCTGGTCCGCAATCAAAACGTCAGCATGCCAGCGGATCAGCCACTGCACTCTATGCAATTAATGATCGATTTTCAGAGTTCACTGACGTCTTTTGTGTAGCTACACAATCGGAAAAATCGGCTATCGCCTTATCGCCTCAGCGCAAGCAGGCAGCAATGCGGCGTGCTCAACTACTAGAAACACATCTCGACGACGACAACATGGCTGCACTTATCGAAGCTTTTCAGGTGGACGTCAGCGCCGCTGATGCATATATGGTCATGTCCGACGAAGGGCCAAGGAGGTCTTTTGTTGACCGCAATATCAAATCTATCAACAAGTAGATCTACTAGGTAGTATAGGTGTTATGTACTCATCCTGTCACGTCCTGACGAGCGCAACACACTCTATGATAGTCCCTCCACATAGCATCTGCAATACCATCTCTCTCCTCTGTCGCCTTTTGCCTTTCAGTACGGCCCGCCGGTCCTTCAGCAAGAACGCCCCTTGACTTGCCTGGATCAGGGTCAATGAGATCCTCGACGGCGAATTCTTCTATTTCCTTTGGATCGAAAATTCGGATGAAGTTGTGAATGGCACAAAGTGCTGGGGGAATTCGGGCTTGAGTCGACATGCTATATTCCGGTGGATGTACGAGTATTGTGAACCGCCTCTTGAGAACGCCGAATATTCGCTCGATCACGTTTTGAGCCTGAGCATGCCGAAGGTTGTATATTTCTTTTGAATTTTTTGGCCTGCCGTCGATGAGAAAATCAATAGTTTGAGTGAGATATCACTCACCGAACTGCAGCTCGACCCCACTCAGCCAAGTGGTACCGAACACTTCGGTACGGAACAAGAAGCGAGTAGCATATTCTGAACCCAGCATCCGCAAGGAAGTACCTTCCTTGTGGAATGTATAGGTCGGTGAGACGGGCGTTATTGTATAGAGTTGAGTCTGAGGTCGATCCATCCCAACCGCCGAGCACATACTGGAACCGAAGATCAAATGAGCAGCATGCAAGACAGTTTTGGCTGACGAAACCTTTTCGGTTTCGAGACAGCTGCCTTTCTGCCAGTGGACGGACAACACGCGATGTGTGTACCATCCATGGCTCCAAGTGCCCCTTGAAAGTGCGGAAAGAATTTCGGGTTCCCAGATATTTCTGGTGGAATAGGTGCATCCTCTTGTGGTAGATAGACGAATTTGTTGTAGAAGGGAGCTGAAGACAGAGCGAGCAGGACTTTCTTGAAATATCTGATGTGGCATGTGAGGCAATGAATATATTGCAATAGTATGGACGTACTTCTGTGTGGTTGTGTGCAAGTGCTGAAAACGTTCTGCGACATGACGGCTTGAAAGCCCTGTCACACATGTATGGAGAAAGATAGCGACTTGCTCATCAAGCAGAATATATTTCGAGTGACATAGCCCAGAGGTCTGAAGCTCATGTACGAGCGCATGGAAGACGTGTTTCCTCATTCCGAGCTCAGTTTTGATCCGGTCAGGGTGTCCGTTGATGAGTTCTTGCACCCATGCATGTCCAGTGAGCACTGATGTATGGTAGGGCTGTCTTTCAAGAAAAGGAGTCATATATGCGATTATAAGGCCCATAATAAGTTGAGCGATCATTGCGGCTGCCATCCGCAACATATGGAAACCGTTGGATTTCATTAGCTGGAGGCATTTCAGCCTTGGTGTGATGTCATACAGTGCGTGATATGCTGACCTTGTCACGGTTGTTTGTACATATTGTTACGAACAAAATAAACTGAGAAATAAACTGAGAAATAAACGCAGCTGTCCAGGCCCTAATGAAAGTGTTAGCAATACAACTAGCCAAAGCAACCCCAAAACTGATATGCCCAGATCAAAGCGGATTCATACTAAATAGATCAATCTTTGACCCCATCCGCCTAGCGAAAATGATGATTGAATATGCCGACATCTCAGAAGAAGATGGTGCTCTTATCACGCTTGACCAAGAAAAAGCCTATGACCATATTAGCCATGACTACCTAATAGAAACGCTACAGACCTTCAACCTCCCGCCAATGTTCATCAACACAGTCAAGGCCCTCTACTCGAATGCCTACACAAAAGTAGCAATAAATGGTATGTTAAGCGAACCATTCAAAGTAACAAGGGGCGTAAGACAAGGTGACCCACTATCATGTTTACTCTTTGACCTGGTCCATTGAACCCCTGGCTTACACCCTAAGAAAATCTGAGTTAATAAAAGGCTATGACATCCCAGGCATAACTCACTGAATTAAAATAAACCTCTATGCTGATGATACGACAATATACCTGAACAAAAATGACAAGTACTCTGACCTTGAAAACATTTTGAATGAATGGTACCTTGCCTCTGGGGCCAAATTCAATATGGATAAGACAGAGATAATACCGATAGAATCAAAGACTCACTGAGAACGAGTGATCACAACAAGAAAACTACACCCAAATGACACACCCCTCAAAAACTCCATCAGAGTAGCCCTGGATGGTCACCCAATAAGATCCCTGGGTGCATGGATAGGCAATGAAACAAACGATGCCACGCCATGGGAACCAATCCTAGATAATATCAGTAAAATGTTAAAATACTGGAACAAAGGGCATCCATCCCTTGACGGTAAATGCCTGATCGCCCAAATGGTAGTAGGAGGCATGACACAGTTCCTAACAAAAGCACAAGGCATGCCCAAGAACATTGAGACCGCACTAATAAAAATACTAAGAAGCTTCATCTGGAACAATGAAAAACATCACCTATCAGCCTAGAACAACTACAAAAACCAAAAGCAGGAGGAGGAATAGACCTAATAGACCTCAAAGCCAGAAACGAGGCTATCAAATTAACATGGCTCCGATCCTATCTTGACCTGTCAGCGAAACGCCCAGCATGGGCCTTCCTAGTGGACATAATCATCAACAACCTAAAACCAACAGGAATAAGCAACACGACAGACCTAAACACCTTCCTACAATCCTGGAACCCACCGACAAAGGGACCAAGAATGACCAACATACCAAAAGAAACAATCAATATGCTAAAAATAGCAAAGAAATACAATGTTAGCTTTGCATCAATCAAACTCTCGAAACAACTCAAAAAAAATTTACCTGCATGGTACCACCTAGGTGCCCCCCAAAAAACATACCACAAATAGAAAGATGACTGCCTACAAAATAATCGCAAAGCCCAGAAAATTAAACACTTAATCAAAATAAGCAAAAAAATCTCACCTACCAACAATGAAATAAACGACATCAATAAAAAAACACTACCCTCGAAGAAATTGCGCATGCAAATACTGTAAGAAAGACAGAAACAATGGATGTGAAAACCCACATAAATGTGCCATAACAGCAAAAGAAATACTAAACAAAATCGCCCCAAAATTCAATACAAAAACCAAACCAAAAAAGATAGCCTATCACTCACCCATAGCAGAGATGAAAAGAACCAACAAGCACACAAAAGGAGACAGGGAGAGATCATATTTGACCCCACCACAACAATATGGACAATGCTTGCAGACTGCTTCAGAATATTCACTGACCCATCAAAACAATCAGACAGACCAGCTCACCACCTACAAGCCCCAGCAAGAGGACTAAACATAATAGAAGACAAAATCACCATCTACACAGACAGTTCATGCCTAAATAACAGAAAATACAATGCAAAATCTGGCAGTGGAATATGGATATCAGCAGAAGACGAACGGAACAAGAGAATAAAAATACCTGGGCACCAACACTCAAACCAGATCACGAAAATAACAGTGATCTTAGTCATCTTACAACAAACAGAACCCTACATTCCTATAACATTCATAATGGACTCAAGATACATAATTGACGGACTCACCAAAAACATAAACCAATGGGAAGACAAAGGATGGATAGACACAGCGAATAGCAACCACCTAAGAGCCACATTATACCACCTAAGAAAGAGATCAGTACAAACATCTTTCATATAGACAAAAGGGCATAACAGAGATCAAAGAAACGAACAGGCAGACCGCCTGGCCCTAGAAGGAGTGAACAAACCCACCAAAGACCAAATAGATCTCTCGATCCCCAATGAATGAAGCCTACAAGGAGCAAAATTATCCTCTATAACACAATCCCTTGCATATAAAGGAATAAAAAAACAAAAGAAAAGAAAAAACCCACCAGGAAGAGCGACAACAAGTAACCTCGACATCACAAGATACGCAATACAAGAGATCATGGGAGACCTTGAACACGACAGCACCATATGGACTGGATGCCGAAGCAAAAAAACCATACATCAATTCATATTCAAAGCATTACATGGCACTTACCGCATCAGCAAATACTGGTTAAACATCCCAAACTACAAACACTGTGCCAAATGCGCAACATGCCACACAGAAATCAAATCGCTAGAACATATCTTACTAGAATGCCCCAATAACGCCCAAAAAACCATATGGAAACTAGCACAAGACCTATGGCCAACAAAATTCGGCACCTGGCCAAGAATCAAACTAGGAACGATCCTAGGGTGTGGGAACTTACATCTGAGAAAACACACACCCGACAAACAAAACCCCAATGAAAGAGGAAACGACAACAATGATGCGAAAGATAAGACCAAAGGCACAGCAAGACTTCTGAGAATCCTGATCTCAGAATCTGCTTACCTAATATGGGTAATCAGATGTGACAGCACCATTAACGAAAAAACCTACACAACGAACAATATAATCAAATGATGGACAAACAAAATAAATAACAGACTACAACTAGACAGAATATCCGCAAAGAAAATAATAAGACCGGAAAAAAACTAGTGACGCACACCTAGGAGAACACATCCATACCAACCCCAACACCCAAACTCAAAAAGACTGGGCAACCACCCTCGAGGTTTGAGTGGGTATTAGACCACTCAGGCCCTCTACGATCAAGGCCCCCTAGGTAGTACAGAGTCCCACACACCCCACATAATGCAGGAGTGCATAAATGCATTTTCCCTCAGACCGGGGTTTCCTGAAACCCTGCTATAGCATGTATACATAGAACTAGACTTAGTCAGCTGCTACCAATACAATTCACATGTCCAAAAAAAAAACATATCCCAACTTAAGCTATAGATCACCTGACTGGTTAGGCATCCTGTCACTTGTCACACATCTTGTTGTGCGAAGGCAAACTAGCTGTCTCATGAGTCATAGTTCCTTTGTGTAAGGCCTCCCCTAAGGAAGAGTAAAAAATGTCGCAAATGAACGTTGAACCTCAATGCTAAGTATAGTAGGCCCAGACATGGGCTATCTTGAGATAATGACAGCAACAGCCCTCTGAGCATTCCAGGGACCAGGACCCTTTCCATTTATCGTTCTCAATGCATTACTATGCCGACATCCTGAAACCAGTACCCATCCTGGAATGAACATCAATGCAACCCGGGCCACTGCATTTCTGTTCATGTGAAGCTCTGCAAATGTTACTAATAGACCTATCTCCTTCGCCTGATGACAAGGACATCGTGAGCTTGTGCAAGGTTAGTTGATATTTGATTCACAGGAGATACCCATTCTTACAGGCTATGTATGAGTTTGTGCCCACTTACAAAAGGATATGGAATACGGAGTGACGAGGTTGATGCCAACAATTCAGGACCATTGGTGACCGCTATCTCAGTAATCAGCCGAATGTATCACAGTGACACTATCTACTAACACTGGGTTGGCTAATACTCGGACCCCACCCACTCTTTCAGTGACAGGCAGAGATTCTGTCCATACTACTTACACCCACCCATGTCAACCACAATCACTCCAGAGGAAATCCAAGCTTGGGACCTAGACTTCCTGAATTCCCCAATGATCAAATACATCACCAGTGGGCCCTTATGTTTTCCAAGGCTGATACACTTACCTATTACAGTTGAAATGGTCATAATGCATACCGATGGGACCGCCAAAATGTTATGCATTATGAGGAATATGCAAGACAATATTTGTCACATAATCGTGACACATGTGACCTCTGCCAAAAGTGTGACATCAAACTTGTCTTCAAACCTTTTCCGTTTCTCCCGCAGCATAGGCCCAGTCACTGTTTCACATCTATTCTCCATGTGCCTAACCCTAACCCATAGAATCAAGGCATGCTCAACATCAGGCCTTGTCACAATTCTTGGCCACTTTGATGACAATGCACTAGGGTTATCATTGACCTGCGCTTCCATTTTTGGATGTTCACGTAACTTGTGTGATAACATTGACTGCTTGAAAATGAGTGCACCCGATTTGAGAGATTTGAAGTGTTTGACAATTTCAGTTTGTGCCACAGTAGGATGAGAAACAATAAAATAATAGACTGTCATCCAGTCAGAGAGTGTGAGATTTTGGCAAGAAGTGCATTCACTGGCTGTAGAATGAGCTGAAGTTTGAGGATTGTCCTTCATGATTTTCTGCCGCTTTGCAGGCTGGTTGTAGATAGCGCTGCGGGCTTGTCACGAGGTTTGCACTTTAAGTTTAGAGACATTTTCATGTAGTATGATACCATTTCAATTTCTCACTGGCTTCTATACATAGTCAAAAGACACAATACCACTGAAGCACAACAATAAATTTATGCACTATGTTATTGTACACATGTCCCACCCTATCAAATCAATACTCATAATGCATATTGGGTATACAAACAATATGCATTATGCATTATGTATTATGCGTCCAATTACTTGGGAACAACATTGGGATCCACAAAAGTTGATGCATTATGACCATTTCAACTGTATTTGGATGTCATGTAGTTGCTGCTCTAACGCTCTTTACCTGGGACCTGGGTGAGTGAGCTCTTTGTGACTTTATTCTGGGCTGTTGACAGAGACACTAGTCCTAACTCTTCCTCACAAGGTAAGTTGTTCAACCAGACCTGAATTATTGCGGAGGCTCAGCAGTGACAGTTTAGACTATGGGTGCATTCAGTTAGGCGGAATTTTGGCTAGCCAGTGATGAGGTCCACATGTAGAACGCCAAATGGATGTTTGCAAAAGTTCTATTTTTTGTGGTGAGATAAGGTTTGCATATTGGTTGGGTGTTTTACCTCATGTTTCTCAGAATCGATACTTTGCACTTGGGACAGCTATCCTAATAACATTTTGTGAGTTGTGCACTGAAGTTTGCTGTAATACCCATATATCGACGCTCAGCGCTCATTGCTAAGATGTAATGCAGTGACATTTGATGTTACACCCACATAGGCTTTGTAGCGTCATCTCACTCATCACTTTTACTCATACTAATTCAGAGCAGATGTAAGCTCAGACACTTTCATCCCCTAACCCCTCTCATGGAAATGTCAGGTTCTGCAAATATTTTCTTTGCTGTCATCGGTATGTAGCATACTCGATCGACTTCAATCAACTTTAGTCTGACAATTCCCAGCTTTGTTACTAGTGGCCAACATCAAAAGTAAGCTCTCTGAGCCATCTGACTGTGCCACATACTCATCAAAGTCTTAGTGATTCTCCAACTTCGACTATACTGCGCTGTATGCCTATGGTGAGTGGCAATGCAAATCCTTCCGGATTGATAGCCCAGATGATATCCAGATAAGAGAATTGTCCTCCCTGTGTCGGCATTGTTCGTCGTGGTCTTCAGTGGCATGATGGTGATGGCAGTGTTCATACACCAGTATGAGAAGAGTGAACTTCATCAATATTACCAAGTGTGTACACTGATCAAAGTTTAGACTACAAAGCTCAGATCTTTGGTGCATGTGCCATAGTTGGGTCCGTGGATTGGCTGTATCTTTTCTGGTACTTACTCCATGGACTGTCTCTGCGACCTGCTCCTCATTCTCTATTAGGGTACCACTGATGGGCTTAGACTCTGTTCTTGTCCTGTTAGCAGGCTACAAATCTCTTCAGCATTATTTCCAGGTACTGGACAAGACTTGGTTTGGCTGCACATCTTATGTGTGCCTTCACACGAGACTCGATTCTTTATTTCCTCTGATGAGAGCACATGCAACGCAGTGGGTCGATTCTGATGCCAAGTACTGCTTTGCTATTTCCAGTAACTTTTTGATATACCTACTCAGCACCTTGCTGGGCAAATACGGCCCTGCTGAGTATTACCAACTGAGCATGATCATGGTCACAATTGTCCCACCTATATTTGTTGACTTCGTTTCCTTTCTTACATTATCTTGTTATCTTGATCACCATCAGGCACCATACTGTCCGGTACTTCTTGACTTCTGCACCATACGGTACTTCCGCTCGTCGATCCTCCAGTGTTACGTCACCTAAGCATCCTTGATAGTACTTACGTCGTCCCATCTCTCGTTGACACCTCAGTTCTGTTCTCTAACATAACTGAGGTATGTAGTATGTTCATACCTCACATGTCGGAAATTTCTCAGGACCATTTCAAGGACTTATAATACATTTTAAGGGCTGATTTTCACACACTGTATTTTAAGGCTTGGTAATGATGGAGATAATATTTGATGGCACCTTGAAAGGCCTTGTTCCCACCTTATGATGCCTTAAAATAGTGTCGCTCATGGGAAATATCATGTAAGCATTGTAAGGTCTTGAAAGGGATGGTGTAACAATAGAAGATAAAAATAAGTTTCCAAGGACCTGGATGCTATTCCAACGGTATTCTAATCTGCATCTCTATTATCTAATCTTGACTGTTGTTATCTAATGTTATCTAATCATATTGTAATCTTGTCCATTGTTATCTAATGCTACCTACTACTATTCTAATTTTATTGCAAGTTAAACTATTGTACTTGGTAGGATTCGAACACTTGGTCATTAGCATTATCTTAATCATTATAGTAGTAATTCAAAGTACTCACATGCATAGTTACCGCTTGGTTATTAGGTCTCAGAATACACTGAAACTTGCTTGGCTATATCGTGTCTTTGAGTGCCTTATAAGGTTACTGGTAAGACTCTGAGAATTCCAATGCGAAAACAAACGCAATTCGACCTTTGTATATAGGACAAGATACAAAAAATGACAGAGCGTAAGACGACACAACGGCATACAAGGTAAAGACAAGATCATTAAATCAGCGCTTTCCCCTCCCTCTTCCCCTGGATTTACTAGTAGCAACCGGTGCCTTGCTGCCACCATGACGAGTAACACAGCCGACTGGTTTCAGGCTCAGGCGCATAGGTCAGCTCACTGGCAGCGGCGCTACGTCAAGGTTGTTGTGCCGACACGCTACGAGTTGCCGACACGCTACGAGTTGCCGACACGCTACGAGTTGCCGACACGCTACGAGTTGCCGACACGCTACGAGTTGCCGACACGCTACGAGTTGCCGACACGCTACGAGTTGCCGACACGCTACGAGTTGCCGACACGCTACGAGTTGCCGATGCAGCTGGTTCAATGACGGCGCCACTACCCAGTGTCAACTGACTGACACCCAACTGCACCTGCGCCGTTGCAGATGCGGATTGAGTGTTGTTGACAGATATAGAGGCGTGATAGCTGGAGACGACATCGACCACTGCCGAACTAGCAGAGATGGAAGTGAGGGCAGATGATGTCTGAGTGGGAGCATCAAGTGCGTCGAGGAGATCGTCTTCCCATGTCCAAGCTCGAGTGGCAGAAGGGAAGTCATTGGAAGCCGTTGGTAGACTTTGGCTGGTGATGTCGAAAACCTCCTTGTTAAAGTATTCCACTGACGCTGCGGGCCCACGGAGTGCACTTGAACAAGCGCTCCAGATAGAAATCATAGTCTGCGTGATAGTTGATCTTTCATCTCCGCACCAGTCGCGGTGAACTCCTGGATCATGCGTCAACAAGAAACGCGCCTATGTAACCAAGTAATTAGTATAAAACTGTCAATATAATGTGTTGACTCACCATAACTGCGGCACCTGCAATTAAACCTTCGGTGACACATTGAGCATTGCAGCGCTGCCCCCTAGCCTTCTGACCTTTTGTCTTCCCGGAAAGTATCTTCTTTCTGTAAATTTCAACGCGAATGATCTGGCGTGAATACTGTCAGTACACCAGTCTCTAATACTACAACATAACCGAATGTGTACTTACTTTGACTAGTACAGGATTCTTGAGGAACTCGTCGGCCACCATAGCATCTGGTCTCGCAAACAGAATGGGTGCTAGCTGAATGTACTCGCCCTCACCGTTCTTCTTCAGCAAACGAAGAAGGTCGTGATCGTCTCGCTTCCTGGCATCCGTCTGAGATAAAAAGAGAGTGGGGTCGAGCTTGAGCGTTGAGAAAATGAGACTTGCACAGCTCTTGATGGCGTGCACAATATTGGACCGCTCGGCACTAACTGCGGCGCGAAACTGAGGAGACGTATCGTGTAAGTAGTTTGTAAGACAGAAAAAGGTGAAGAACATACCAGAGAATCAAATGACGAATACTTCTCCATGGACTTGTGCAAGTCCTTGGACACACACTGATATAATTCCGCCATGGCGCCATTGAGCTTCACCTCAGGAGATGCCCAATGTGTAGGACTACGTGGGTCATTGTCAGGCTGTGGGGTCGTTGGGAAGACACCAGGGATGACCCAGAAATGGTAAAATAGTGTATACTTCTTCCCTTCAGCAGTGATTTTGGTGTCGAGTGCCGATGTCTTCTTGAGTGCGCGGTTACGGCTGCAGGCAGGTACAGTAGCTGAGAGCGTGAGGTAGTCCTTCTTGAGAGTCTTAAACTCAACTCGTAGTGAGTTGTATGCTTGCTGTGCGGTTTCGAGTGCCTAGATACATTGAAATTACATTAGTGCGAGTAGTAGGATAGCCGAATGATTGTACTTGCCTTGCGAACCTCGTGCATGGGTGCTTCTGGTTGAGGAACAGAGAGGATTGTCCTAAATGTTTCAAGCTCATTGCCACTCAAGTCTTCACTGTCTGATGCTTCAGTGGCACTGACAGCATCAATTTCGGCCTCAAAGCTCTCGCCG